CACTACCACTACCACTACCACTACCACTACCACTACCACTACCACTACCACTACCACTACCACTACTACTACCTACCACTACCACTACGACTACGACGACGACTACTACTACCACCACTACGACGACGACGACGACGACTACTACTACTACCACCACTCCTGCTGCTGTTGCTACGGCTACTGCTACTTCTTCTTCTACTACCTTTACTGCTACCACCACCACCACCACCACCACCACCTCTTCTGCTACCTCTACACCTCTATTCTACTATACTACTGCCACTACGACGGCGAGGACGTGATTATGACGACAACGAGTCATATGTGTGTAGTCGTCGTGCCAGCTCGAGAAGAAGAGTTTGTGGAACAAGGTTGAACGTGGAAAGCAATCACCATGATGCGGCCACTAACTAACGGCAGCTGCAGCTTAACTGCAGCTGCCAGCACAAGCACTTCTAGACTCGAGGACGTGTTCCCTCGTTGTCTCTTGGTGCTTCGAACCGCTGTGGAGTGTTGTTGCTGGAGCTCCCATAGCCTGTGCAAGTCATCTTGCGCAAGATAGGTTTTATTGCAATTCTGTGTGACCTGCCCGAATCGAGTGCCTTTGAACCTGGCGGTTTATGCCACTTTACTGCCGAGGTTGGAACTTGCTCCAAGAAATGCGCCGCGGCGTGCCTGACGACGAAATCATCGGCACCATTGCCGAAGCTGTTCAGAGGCATCGCAGCCCGGGTTTCATGGGGCTCTTCGGGAGCATGTCGGCAGTCGGGGCGCTACTCCAACCCGAAAGGGATCTTTGATGCCACCGTTGTGATGACCATCAGCTGGGCTTGAGGACTCCAGGTTCCGCACTCTGGTACCAAAACCGTCTGAAAAGCACTCACGCCAATGGGTTTCGATGGGTTTCGTTTATGATATAATGCTCCCCTTCTCCCCATGCCCAAGTCTCAGCCTTGCCAGACTGCCGCTACTGAGAATCAAAGTCTAAGATGTCCCATGGTCGGTGAAAGCCACAACACCCATTCCTTTGCTGAGACGACGCAGGAAACACGCCAAGCTGGGTGGTAAGCGAGACATGTTCGAGCTCAACGAGAGGGGTGCCAAGGCAGGAAGGGGGCTGCTGAACTACTGCGCTCCCAGCCAGGCTAAACAACCTAACAAAAAGACTGGCTTCAGAGTACCCTTTCTAGTAAGTCTCAATTCATCGTGGCAGTCCTTGTTTCGCGATTTCCGTTAGGCCTTGCCAATGATCGCGCTGGGCGGTTGAGAAGTGACGGCCTGAGCTTAGGCGTAGGTCGTGCTCTGACAGGCTGCTTTTTGTTTTGGACGCCTCGAGGCTAAGTAATGTCACAAAAGCATTCACAAAGACAGCAAGGTTTTCATACGACGTAATGCATGCTGTCGGGCTGTCTGCTGACTGCCCGCACGCACCATACGAGAGCATCCGAGCGTGTGCCTCCGCCGTGCTGAGGACGAACTTCTGGTTTGCCTTTGCCCCTATCGGGGAGTTTTCCGGATGTGCCTTGGTTGCTTCCACGAGGAGGGCGGTGCGGAGCACGCTATCCCGTCCAGCAGCCGCTCTGTGTTTGCAGTGCCCTCGCAGGTTATCGGATTGTATCCGCAAGCGTGGGAGATGGCAGAGTGCATGCGTTGAGATATCGATCGTAGAGACAAACAAACTTGCCTTTTGCTTGCACCTGCCATCACTATAGTTTGGCGATATCGTCACTTTGCTACGTGTGCCAGCTGGCTTTTTGCGCTAAGCGCTGGCTAGCTGCCTCACCCAAGGACGTATCTACCATGAGGAGCCCAAATTGTTATCGCCATTATTCCCATTATCAACGTTATATGAATATGATATGTTATTGCTACTACTCTTATATATTCCTGATCAAGTACTACTGTTGTTATTGTTATACCGGAGTGACTCTAGGCCTGCTGGGCCGTGCAGCAGTGTGCCACTGGCATACTCTCAGAGAGTTCCGTAGCTTTTGTGCCTGGCCTGCTGACCGCTCCCCATAATTGCATAATCATGCGAATCCGACGTGTCAAGGTTGATCCAAACTCGGCTACACCACTGATTCTTGCTTCTCTGCCCTCGAGTCTCGATGGCTACACTTTCGAGGTTGCAGTACCACGTAGGTCAGAGGTCGCCCACCCAGCCAAGCGGCAAGGCATCCAAAGAAGTCAACAAGATTGCTGAACGAGATGGGTCAGGGTTCAGGGATAAGCAGGCGTAGCTCTTGCATAATTTATGTATCGAAGTTACAACCTTCTGGGATGCTTCCAGGGCCGTTCGCATTATACACTTCCGAGACCCGGGAATACTTGGAGTGAGCTGTGCATGTTTTGCCCTAGTTGGTTTCTGCAGCGACGGTGTGCTTTCCATTCCGATATCCTAGAGTCCTGGACACCTCCAAGCACCAAAAGCGCACCTTGCCCTTGAGTGGGCGACCTCTGCGGCTGCCGGCCGCAGACACACAGCTTCGCCAGAAACAAGCGGATGTCCAGCCGATGGTTGCGCTGGATATAGGCAGACAGATTTTGCAAGTGTGCCTCGACTATCTTCATGCTTGCTCGAGTCAGCAATGGTCATGTGGACATTTGAAGGCTCATCGGCAGGCATGACAGCATCCACCGCACGGTGCCTCCTCGGGTAAGTTGCTTGAGAAAGTCAGTAGGCACACTCTCAAAGCAGCGATCTAAAGTCAATCGTTTGTTGACGTGGAGCAACACGCAGCAGAATGACGGGTTCTTGCCACAGCAATGGAGAGCGACTGGTTGCGAGGCCGATACACTTTGCAGACTTCGCTTTGCACGCTGTTTGGTCTGAGGATGTTTTTTTTTCAGAAGCTCTGCAGAAGCGCAAGGTGCACTGTTGTCAAGCTTTTGCGGCGAAGTAATAGCTTAAGGCTTAAGTCAGCGTGACAGGCAACTCGTAGCAACGGCCGAAGTGCACATTTCTGCTCTTCAAGGCTCCGAGAGCTTCTAGCAGAGACGCCCGACATCGGAGACCCGGCAGCGAATTTAGCCACACGGAGTTGTGTCGACCGTCCGGTAAAGACGTCAATAGTGTAACAGGACTTCCGACTAGTGCAATGAGGTAGTGGCTTTTCGATTGTCGTTCGTGAGACGTAACCCCTAAACCCTAAAACCCTAAACCCTAAACTGCAGATAGCTGGCATGTTGCCCCCAGAAATCTCTCCGAAAAAATCTGAACGTTGAGCCGGTAGAGCCGAGGATATCGAGCCGTTCATGCAGCCTTGCAGACAGAAGAGACCTTCAAGGATGGTACATAATGTTACATCAAAGTAGTATATATTGTGTTTTTGTATATCATGTTATGTTATATTATGTTATATATGGTGATATTATGCTATATTATATTTTTTTAGTATGTTAGCTTCAAGGATGGTTATGTGGTAGCTCTCCCAATTGGGATCCCTCTTAGGGTTCCTCTCTATTAAGTTCAACAGTTTGGGCTCGTCCTTCCTGTTGATGTGTGGTTATGACTCTATTATGGTTTGAGTTTCAGGTCTGAGAGTAGGCTTCATTGTTAAGGTGTTTGATTGACCTTCTGCCGCACATAGCAGGGAAGCCAGAGAAGCCGGCCCGAAACTAGAGACCCTAAACCCTAAATCCTAAACCCTAAACCCCTAAACCCAGTGCATACCTACTATAGGTAGGCCTTAGACCTTTGCAGCTGCGGAGTGAAGGGGTCGGTGCACTTAAAAAAAAAAAGCCCTAAACCCTAACAACGGGCCCCCAGAGTCCCAGGAAGCAGCGAGTCTGTCAGGACGTCTCTCTCAAGACAGTGCAGAATGTACTGCGAGACATCAAGGGTGGGCAGGACAGAGATGCGTCCAGAGTCTCTGATCTGCATGACAGCACCATGACAGGCTATGTAGCCACCCGAGCCAAGCCTTGCCGTTACCACACGCATGGACTGTCAAGTCGAAGACTCCAAGGTTTGCGAAGCAGCATGCGCAAGCTTCTTACGCCGTAATCTGTGAGCCAATCCTGCTGCCTGTTGCCCTGCCTCCCCCCATGAAAGTGCGGACCCCACCCACTTGCTAGAGGGCTCCATGCAGCAAAGTTGCAGACAACGATCGTCTGAGCCCTTGTTCAGCCAGGTAGGCTCTGCATTCTCCCCCTCTATCTCTGTCTCTCTCTTTTTCTCTCTCGCTCTCTCTCTCTCTCTCTCTCTCTCTCTCTCTCTTTCTCTTTCTCTCCTCTCTGTATCTACAATTAGTTGCTGCTTCCCGTGTGAGGATGGCTACAAGGCGGCCATGGCAGCAGAAGCGCCTCCGAGCGTGGCTCCGGACGAGAAGGAGGCGCGCATATGTATGGACATATATACATATACACATGCATACACGCACATGCATACATTCACGTATGTATGAATGTATGTATGTATGCATGCATGTATGCATGTATGTATGTATGTATGTATTTATGTATACATGTATGTATGTATGTATGTATGTATGTATGCATGTGTATAAGCATGTGTATATGCATATGTATATACATATGTTTACTGTAGTACTGTTAAGAATCCTTTTCTGGTTCTTATGATATATACCTCCGAAGGAGTGGAAAATTGATGTTGGTGCTCAGGGCGCACAATTGTGCATACGTACACATGTATGCATGTGTACGAAAATGGACATAGAGGAAATGTGTATATGTATATATATATGTACACATGTATGTATGTCTGTGTGTATGTATGTATTTATGTATGTATGTATGTATGTATGTATGTATGTATCTCTGTGTGTGTGGATGTGTGTATGTGTGTATGTTTCTATGTTTCTATGTATGTACATGTTCACATATGCATGTAAGTTTACAAGTATGCATATATACGTATGTATATATATATATGTGTGTGTATATAATGTCTGTTGTTGATATTATCAATATGAGTAGTGTTGTTATGTCGTTATTCCTACTGAATAATGGTAGTACTCTTGTTATCATTGCTGCTATGAGAACAAGAGGTAGTAGTAACAGTAGTAGTAGCAGTTGCAGCAGGAGGATTATTAGTGTTGTTGTTGTTGTTGGTGGTGGTGGTGGTTGTAGTGGTGGTGAGGGCTGTGGCGGGGTGGGTGTTTTGTATCAGCATATACCATATCTCGTATCATATGCTGTACTATGTTATATCATATTCTGTTATACAATATCATATCATCCTGTATTGTTTTATGTAATGCTATATGATACTATGTTATCTTAATTCTTGGATATACTATGTTAACTTCTTTGCAGTGTATAATTGACTTACTTTTGTTATATCATGTTACAGGACACTATATTACAGTATGTATATGTAGACTATGTTATATAATATCTGCTTGTATGTTACTCTTTATGCCATGTGTGCAGTATGTACTTTATATACCATGTTAACTTAAGGTATTGTATGTATACATATAGTACATGTGTGTATATATAAAAATACATGTCTGGATGAATGTATGTATCTATGCATGCATGCATGTATATCTGCGTGTATGTGTGTATATTTACGAATATGTACATAAGTGTGTATATATGTATGCGTACCTACATGGTATGTGAATGTGTGTGTGTATATATATAAATAAATAAATGAATAAATAATATATATATATGTGTAATGATGTATTGTGGACGAACGTGGTCGCGGGGTGCGGGCGCCGAGAGGGCGGTGCCAAGCGTAGTGCATGGTTTCAAGTCAGGGCACCCCCCCCTCTTAGTTAGTTAGTTGGTTTGCTTTTTGGTCTACTTATATATGTATGTATATATACGGATATAAATGTGTGTGTGCAGCCGGGCCTGAGATCTTCCTGGGTTTATCGGGTTTTATGACCAGGAGCCATTTAGGGTTTAGGGTTTAGGTTTTAGGGCATTCTCCTGAGAATTTGTGGGTTTGAAGCGAACGCAGCCTACACTCGCTGAGGCGCATGCCCCGGCACATCTCATAAAACTGTGCTTGCTGAGCCTTGTAAAGGTCCACATCAAAAGAGGGGACATTTCACAAAGATTTGGAATGGTCCTTGATGCTTGCCAGCAAATGCCAACTGTGCGGCAGTGCGCCTTACCGTGACACTTTGGTGTTCATGCCTTGACACCAGCGCATTGCAATGAGGATGAGGATGTCTCCTACAAGGGTGGTCATCACATCCGCACGATCGTCGAGGGAGGAGTCGTTGATGCGCCCTGGCTAAACCAGTATGGCCTCTGCAAAAAGTCCAGGCTGTATCTGTACAGGATACTCAAGCTATCCTCCGATGGATAGTCCGGGAGGACGCAGCTGGGCTCATAAGGAGTGGAACAAGAAGAACGCGCATCAGGCGATTCTTGCCGGTGACACACTGCTCTCTGTGCACCTGGGCGGGAAAGAGATCTCAGTCTTCGGCTCCCGGGTTTCGATCTTTTTTTGGGCCGTTTAGGGGGGTTTTAGGGTTTAGGGTTTAGACTAGGCTTGTCCTGGCAGAAGGGCAGCGGAAGAAATGTTTGAAGTCAGTGGGATCTTGTAGTTGCCATGATGTGCTCCAAATTCCCAAACCGCAGCTCAGGAACGGTCAAAGCAGCCTGAGCTCGATGGTGGCCTCATGGCTTCAAAACTGAAGCCCCGGTGGGCCTTGTTGAACCCCATGGGGACGCAGGGAGTGAGTTGTCTTGCTCCAGAAACCACTCCCAACTGCCACATTTCAGGGCGAGCTGAAGGAAAAGACCCTCTGCGTCATGCGCATCCGGACCTCGGGTAGGAGCGGGGACGAAGGCCGGCACAGCTGCCACCCAAAGCATTGATCATCAGCAGGACGTCACTGCGGATGCACCAGCAGCTATCCGTTCAAAATAGGCTTACAACTTGCTTCCGGGACAAGCTGTTCCAACCTGGCAGAAGCAGAGTAGGGATCACTGAAGGGCTCCGGAACTTGCTGCGCACGCAAATGCTTGCCCCGAACACCCGAAACCGGAACCCCAAAGCCCTTGCGAACGCGCTCAAACAGAATCCTTTCTCACCCCAGAACACGTAACCCTAAACCTCTCTAACTTGCCGCTGAAGCTCAAACCCTAGACCGGCAAAACCCCCACACCGCAGGGCTCCGGGAGGATGACTCTGAAGCCAAGAAGGAAGAAGCCGAGTGGGAGCGCAGGCGACAACTCAGTGTTGGTCGAAGTCTAAGTGACCGATAAAACTGAGGGCATAGACTGATGATGGTGATAACAGCATTAACATAACAAGAGCAGCAGCAGCAGCAGCAGCAGCAGCAGCAGCAGTAGGAGTAGTAGTAGTAGTAGTAGTAGTAGTAGTAATAGTAGTAGTAGTAGTAGTAGCAGCAGCAGCAGGAGTAGTAGGAGGAGGAGGAGTAGGAGTAGGAGTAGCACTAGTCGTCATCGTCGTCGTCTTCGTGGTAGTCGGAGAGGTAGTGGTAGCAGTAGCAGTGGCAGTAGCAGTGAAAGTTGCAGCCGAAGCTCAGCAGCAGCAGCTGAGAGTACAAGTTGCTGGTTTAGTCGGAATGCTGATGCCTATCAATTGCCAGTGATAATGACGATGATGGCTATCAAGTTGTGGTGATAATGAGGATGACGGTAGTTCAAAATGAGCAGCTGCATGATTGAGGATTGGTGCTTGAGGTCCAGGTCAACTGGCCTGGTTTAATTCTGCACACTTTAATCCGTCAACTTGTCACACCGGGCCCCACGAGAGAGCTTCAGACACTGAAAGAGCTCAGGCGGGCCCGGGTGACTGCCGCGCTGGTCCCTGGCCTTAAGAAGCCGCTTGGAAGAGCAAGCTACCTTTGTCTCCAACATGGCCCCAGCGACATGACCGGATGGCAGTTTGTTAGGAAGCCTACAACGGTTTGAAAATCCAGGACTACAGGGTATGTTTCTCATGCTTGACCAGGCTCCTCGTGAGGGCAGCCATGTCACGAAGATCACGGACAGTCCCTCATGAGTGACCACCTCGTTCGACGGATAGTCTGCCCGGTGAAAGCATTTGAAGAGCACCAGGGTCTGAGGCTTCGAGCATGCAGGACGCCAGAATCTATTCACATCTACTGTGACCGAACTTGATTCGAAGCCGGATTCCCGAAGCGGCCGCGGATATGCCAAGGATCATTGACCATGAGTTCGGCACCGGTGCTGGCGAGCGAATCGATCGCGTGGAGACCATGTACAATCGGATCGGGCGCAGCTGAGCTTAGTTATGCTTGCGGCTTCTTGAGTAGTTTGCCACGAAGCTTCCATGACGAAGGCTTCAAGGCATCCATGGCCGTCCACCATGTGTTTGGCTTTGGGCATTTCGAGCACAGGGCTTGTTGGCAGCAGCCTCCATCGAGACTGGTAAACTTGTTGAAAGAGGACCCCAGGACCTGATACTATGTCTTGTATGCGAACCTACAAGGCCCTTTGAGTTTATCGCGAAAAGCAGAGGCAACGACGTCTACAAGGAGGAGCATGCACTTGGGCCCAGACTGGCACCTGGCTACATTCACGGCCTGTCTCCCGTGTCACCCTTTCACGATGTGAAGGACCGCAACATGCTTTCGGCAGTGTCCAGTCCGGGCATTCAGAGTTCGGATTTGCAGGCATGAGCTCTGTACCCGAAAGGCCAGCATCTCCTGTGTAAGATTCTGCTGTAAGCTTCAGATACCAGTCAAACTTCATAGGGGGCTGTCGCCCTGTTGAAGCTTGTTTCCAGTGCATCCAGGACCACCCCTGGTGTGCCCAGCTGAAGAAGCAGTGGAAGGCCATACGCCAGGAGCTCCGCCAAAACTTGGATCCTGGCCTTTGGACAGGAGGCAGGGCATAAGGTGGCCTGGGAGTGAAACGGGCCCCTAGAATGTCCCTGTTTTTGGGCTTCTGATTTATAGAGTTTTGGCCGTATTATTTGTAGGAAACTTGCGTTGATTTCTATCATCCCTTCGCATCCCCAAGCTAAACAGCCACCCCGAGGCTTTGCTGAGGCACCCCGGTGTAAGCTGGCAAGAGGTGCCTACGAGAAGTCCAATGAGGCATACGGCAAGGACTGGAAGATCATGGGCGCCGGGGCCTCACAGCTTCAGACATCACAGAGTCCGGCAGAGGCGATCACAGGGTGCTTTTTCGGAAAGCAAGGTCATCGGCACTCATTTTTGGGAGTGAGAAGATCCGAGTTTTGTTCGGGAAGCGAGGCCGAGCCCGGCGCCGCCTGCCCGCTTCGCCGCCCAAACTCTAAACTCTGACAACATCTGAATCTGTTCTACTGTAGCTCAACTATGAAACTGTGGAAGGCGGGTTGGTTTCAAGTCATCATACAGCCCCTGCAGCTAACTGCTACCTTGTGAAGACCTGGTCGAAGAACGACTGAGGTTCTCACCGAGGACCGGTGGCAGGACGAAAAGCGATTTCAAGTCACCACAGGCCGGAGCCTGGAAGTTGACTTTGGGTTTGCGGGCGGCCCCCGGTTGGGAGTAGAGCAGTTTGGTTCTGTGTTTTTTGGGGTTCTGGAGAGGATAAGCGCCCACAAGTACTGCTCTGCTCCTAGGAGGATGTCGAGTGTTCAAGCCGAAGTGCCTTGCAAGGGCTTTCTTCGTGCCTGCATGCATCAGTCTGCTTGAAAATGTGAGGGCAAGGTGTGAGGCTATCGAGCGTCATGAAGCCATCGCAACCTGCATGGCGAAGCAACGCTGTCCAACCAGCTAAGGGCACCCCACGGGAAGTCGATGTCCGTATTACTATGAAAATGCAAGCGGGCAAGTCGGAGCTGAATGTCGCCTGAAGTCCTCCGAGCTCGCCTGAAATCGCGTGACCCATAGCCTTCAAGTCCACAACTTGCAACCCGAGCTCCAAACCCCAAATTCAGGAGTCAAGTTCACGTCCGCAGAGCGGGTTCGGGCCGGGCTTCTTGTAGAAGTGAAGCAGGGTCGGCTCTCCAATTCTACTGACATTTCACTTGCCAAGAGAACGAATGCAATCATGACCCTTGCTGTTAGTAGTGTTCATCGAATAAACTGTTGTTTCAGACTTCCAGCACTATGACTCTCAGGACTGTGATGCTTGTCTCTTCTTGTCAGCCTCTCCTACGGCGACTACGGACGTAGAGCTCCCCCAGCACGACCGCAACCACGATCACAACAAAAACCACATCAACAATGCTGACATCCTCTTCCTCAACTGAAAACCAGCCTCACCATCATCCGGCGGCACAGATCCCATGGCATCGTATTCATGACCAGCATGATCATCATCACAATCATCAGCACCATCATCATGTTCATCATATAGATTGCAGCTCTTCCCACCGTCGGCACCTTCGTGATGCTACCCACTTTAACAACAATCCAAAAACGTCTTCTGTACTGGGCCCTACCCATAGGCCCCTAAGTAGTTCCTTTTGGTGGTTTATATTTAGAATCCTATAAGGTAACCCCAAAAAGGAACTACTTAGGGGCCTATGGGTATTGACTGTCCATCGCACTCGGTCACTTGCGCAGGGGCGCTGCAGGCGCTGAAGGGCCAGGAGCTCATCGGGAAGTCTTATCCCAATGTCTCCCTAACCCCCCAGGTACCTACTATATAGGGTACCAGAGCCACTAGGCCCCTATATAGTAGGTGCCTGTGGGGTTAGGGTCTGTGTCTCTTCTAGTCGAGTGTTGACTTAATCTTTGGGTTATCTGTGAGGGCTTCTACAATCAGCAAGGTAGCGTTATTTAGGGCGTGCCGAGATCCTCATATTCAAGCAAAGCTTGGAGTCCTTTTCGACACCTGCCTGCTAGCTCCGGTCCCAAAGATAAATTCCAAGTCGGTGCGGCTCCTCAAGCCCCGGGCGAAGCGAATGTTAACTGGCTTTTTTGGCCCTTTCAATGAAACTGAGTTCCCCCAACCCCTAAACCATTTTATTCCTTTTAATGAAACTGAGTTCCCCCAACCCCTAAACCCTAAACCCTTTTAATGAAACTGAGTTCCAGTCTGAGGTATCAAGCCCTTCGAGGCATTCTTCGCCAAGATGCCACCTCGGACGAAGATCGCCCCCCACTCCGACAACCTGCCCCCCTGCGGCAGGTGATCCGGGTAGTTCGGCCTAGGGTAACCGCTCTCATGGCACTTCCTTCGTGGTTCAATGCAGAGTCGGACCTATGCTTAACCTGCACAGTTTCATGAGGGCATACACTGCTTGTGAATATGCTGTGCTCGAAAATTGATGGGTCGGGTTGAAAAGGTCTCCTTGGTTTCTGCTACGAATTGATCACGTGTAACAGCCCAAAATTCTCACACGGGATTGCCTCCCGTCCTTCGTGAGGGCTTCCACTGGGCATGGTTGCCTTTGCTCGAAATCTTCGTGTTCTGCAGCTAAGTTTTGTGACGAGGCGGTGCTCCAAACCCTGAACCCGTGACCCTAACAGGTGTTCCAACTGTAGCAAGGAGGAAAACAGGGCCCGCAAAAAGCCGCAGACAAACAAAACAACAAACTTAACCCTAATAGGCCCTAAAGCCTAAACCCTACGCCCTTAACCCCAAACCCTTGACCCGAACCCTTAACCCTAAGCCCTTAACCCTACGCCCTCGAAAGAAGGATCCTGGCAGGCTGTGCTTCGAAGTGATCTCAAAAGAAGCTCTAGTTTGGGGGCCTTAAGAATTAGAACAGGGTTTGGGGGGGTATATTAGACTATAGGTAGAATAAGGAGCCCCCAAAACCATATTCTCATTATTGAGGCCCCTACATTAGTGAGACAGGCCTTTCTATATAAGACATGTGCGCCAAGTAACAGAAAGGATTTAGGGTTCAGGGAAAGCTGCTTGGGAACCCCGTCCCCTAATTCGTTTTACCCTAAGCCCTTAGCCCTATCGTCTCAGCCGTTTACGCCTAAACCCTATCCCCTATGCCCGTTAACCCTAAGTCCGTTAACTGAGGAACTACATCCTGACCTCACATCTTGTGCCTGGGCGAGCAGTGCTTGTCTCTCGGGAGCTTCCAAGCTTTGCGCTTCAGAAAGGCTTGGGTTTCGTGTTTAGGGTTTAGGAAGTTCAGGGGTTTAGGGGATTAGAGTTGTGGGGTTTACCGTTTCGGGTTGAGGGCTTTAGGGTTTAATGTTCAGGTTTTAGTTATCAGGAGGCTTTGAACAACAGGCCAGGGACGGAAGTATCGGCCGACGAGGCTAGGCAGTCTCCAAAAGCCAACAGTTCCTAAAACCATCATGACAAGGAGAGAAAGGGGGGAGAAAGCAGAAGGAACGCAGGTCTGAAGCCTTGAAGCACTGACCCATCTTGGATTTCAAGGCCCTGGAACTTGAGGAGGGCAAGTGCTCCATCACCGTCGGAAAGCAGGACCTGCTCATCAGAGTTCTGCCTCAAGCATCCGCATGATGCCTCACCGTAATGTAGGGGCCTTAATCACTAACCAATACTGTTGTGGGGGGTTCCTTATTATAAGTATAGTATGATGGGCCCCCCAAAACCCTATTCTACTTATTGAGGCCCCTACATTAGTCAGATTTGCTATGGCGGGGCATTACTCAGCTGGCCCAAATGGCCAAGTTAGGAAGACATTTCCAGGGTCACAAGGGTCGCCTGACCCTGCAGGAGCAGTACTGGAAGGAAGGTGAGATGCTCATCTTCGACACCACCTTCATCCATTCAACCAAGATTCGAGCCAGCAAGAGCATACTAGACGAACATGTCTTCGCGGCTGTGGCCTGTGATCCGTTGCCAAGTTTGAGATGGTGTCTGTATCCTCTTGTGCTTCTCTGTCTGCCTAGTTTGTCGTCCCTGTCTTTGCCACTTTCACTCATTCTCTCGCCCCCTCGCTTTGTGCGAACGTCACCTTTCCGCTGTGGCCACCCGCCAAGCAAGCATGTGCTCCTTTGCAAGCACCGACTTGAAAGCACGGGCAGCCAAGGAATGAATCAGAAAGGCCTCGCTATGTCCTGGTGCTGCGCTTTTGGCATCCGGGGCTGACGGAGGTGCCTTTGTCGGGATCTTGCTTGAATCATTGCTGCATGTGCTTTTGTGCAGCGAGCCTCACTGTAGGGCATCTACCAAAGTGAGATGGCTCCTCCACAAGACCCCAAATAATTAGAATAGGGTCTTGGGGGGTAGAAAAGTGGACTTATAACCCTAGCAAGTAGTAGTGGCATCTGCGTAGGCCCCTGAGCATGACTTAAAATGTTGTTTGTCTGCTGTAGCATCACTTATCGCACGTTGTGTGCCTGCTTATTGCATCACTTGTCACCAGGGATGCATCGGATACGATACTATACCAGAATACACTAGAGTATTTCATAATAAATAACATGATATAAGATAAAATCGGCAGGAAGAGCGACGGGCTATCCATGTGTCCCATGCCATCCTTGCCAGAGCCGCATCTTGGCACAACGGTCCATGTAGCCCCCTGGTGCTGTTGCTTTGCCAATTTGTAGGGTCTCAATCTTTGGCGGCGTTTGCAAAGTTCATTTTAGCAGGACATGCATCCCGTGTCCCCTAAACCCTAACTAAACCCCAAACCCCTAAACCCCTGACCCCTAAACCTCAGGTCGGTAGAATCTTGATTGAGAGCCTAGGCGAAATGAGCAAGGTATCTTCACCTCGGATGGCATTGACCACTCTCCTGCCGATGCTGCACTGCGGGCTCAAAGTGGCATGCAGACCGCCCACCAGGAATCAAGGTGAAGTAGTAGGTCGGATGTATCAGAGGACCAGGCCTCCTGAATGCACTCTTGACAATGTGGTCGTTAATTCTTCAGGAGCCCTGTCGCCAGAGTCTGTTGTCCCGCTGGTGCAGACATAGGCTTTGCCACCAGCCGTGCAGACCTTCGCAAGCTTTGCCGGAACATCAACCCTAACCCCCCCCAGGTACCTACTACAAAAGGCCCTAGTGGCTCTAGTACCCTATATAGTAGGTACCTAGGGGGTTAGGGTTTGCCGGAACATCAACTGCATGCCAGAATCAGAATCTATCGAAACAGTTGGCGGTGCGAGAATGCTCAACGCCTGCACTTCTTCCATGCTTCCTGACGCGCTTGGATACTCTACTCTACTATACTATACTATACGATACTACCCTGTACTATTCTATACAACATACTGCTTGTACTGTATTGTAGTTTGGCATGCTATGCTATGCTATGCTATTATACAATACTATACTCTACTTTTGTTGCTAGTCTCTAAGCTTCCAAGCTCCTCTCGCGCAGATGGGCCGATGGGTCATGCCTTCAACAGAGAAGAGGCTGGCGGACACGACCTTGTGTTCAGCTCTGACTGTTGGCTCGACGCAGGAAGCTATGTTCATGTGTATTGAGACATAGGTACCTATAATATACTTGGTTCTTCAGCTATTGTTAATTCACTTTTGCTATGTACATTCGTTGTATTACTTCATTACATATTTCATGCACAGCGAAGTTTACAGTTTGTAAGTTAAGCAGATATACATACACACATATGCGTACATACCAGGTTATGGCGAAATAGGGAGGTACACTCAGCTGTACATGCACTACAGACTGCAGGTGCGTGTATACATAGAAACCACTGGGCAAATTGATACCAAGACAGCAGACGGACATGAGTACGTGAACAAAAAATTACAAGAAAGAGAGCGAGAGCGAGCGAAACAGAGAGATAGAGAGAGAGAGAGAGACAGAGAGAGAGAGCCGTTGGCGAGAAGACGAAGAAGAAGGAGAGAACCAGAGAGAGGCAGAGACAGACATGGTGATGCTAATGCTCATTTTCCTACATAAACTGGCATGATTGTGGTGTTACCTTGCTTGCACATGGCCACCACTGCTTGTGAGTCAAGATGACGAAGGTGTATCAGCATGCATACAGCCTGGCAAGGCGTGCAATACCCCCAATATGCACCCCTACACACACACACACACCTGGAGTCTTTCACCCTCGAAGATTTGACAGCTGCTGCGGTACTGTTGTCTGATCTATAGAATCGCGTCGTTCCTGCAACTGTTCAACAGGTTTTAACTTTCTTGCTCTGAGGCAATGCTCCATGCAACATACAATGACTCTATGCGACATTTAGCGAGTCATGCCACGATGCGTAGTCATTAGTCATGACTGTCCAAGAATTCTCAATGCTTGCCCAATCCACTGCATAAGCTCTTCACGAAACCAGGATGCAGAATCTGTGCAGGCACATCTCGGTTGATCAGACCTGATTTCAGTGTCCTGCGCATCTTTTTTGTTGGGCTGGCACTTGCATGGAAAGCCAGACCCCTGGTTCTTCAAGCTCAAGCAGAGCCGCAACAGTTACTTCAAGCTACTTCAGCAAAGATTGAACACAAGACCCGGTCCAAGTATTAACGAACAAACCCACCCTTAGAAGCATGAGTTCCGCGCATACAGACAGACAGACAGACAGACAGTCAGACAGACAGACAGACAGACAGAGACAGACAGAGACAGACAGACAGACAGACAGGCGCGCAAACACACATTTCTGTGACTGCCATCTTTGTGCGTTGCCATGTAGTCCACATCGTCGCTTGGTGTTTCTTTACCGTGTCTCTACCCGGTTAAGTACGACCACAAATTTCACTTGTCTTGTCATTCTTGCTTATATGTTTCGATGATATGAAGAGAAACGTGCACACACGAGCCTTGAAGAGCGTTTTCTCAATCATCACCATGCCCATGTGGTGGAGGCCCCCAGACGCCCAGCCGCCAAATCCGGCGTCACAGGCCTGGCATCAGGGAAGTACAAGTGAGTTGAATGTTTCAACATCTTAAACAAATCACACGCTATCTGGCATGAGATCGGAGCATACTTCCTGCCAGGCTGGACCACCTCCCCCAGTTGCTGCCAGACAGACTTAAATTTCTGTACACTCGTAGCAGGTTCGGGGTAAAGGAAGTTTGTGTGCACAGGTTAAGCTGCACATGAAGATCAGAGGTTTGAGATGTTATCCCTCTCCGGTTTCAAGAGTGTGGGCCCTGATGCAGGTCCCAGTTCACACACATGTGTTTTTCTTGGAATCCTGGGCTTTAGAGTGTTGGATTCCCTACAAGTCCTGCATGAAAAGCCGAGGTGTACTACCCGTCTGCACACCAGCAGTGAGTCCTGCCTCACAAACACGAAAACACAGCGCCTCGCACAGGCATCGAGCGCTCGGTAGGTAGCTGCAAGCACAAATTTGAGGTATTGAGGAATTCGATTTCCTGCTGGGCTTGTCGGCACATTAGTCATGTCAGCTGACATGCACGTGCGCTGAAATGGTTGCGGATGAACGCCAGCCAGCCCAGCGCTAGACCAAATGTTTCACCGGCTTTCCCCACCAGTTTGGAACTTTGAACACGGCTGCCGTGGTTGATCTGACATGACACTCGTGGTGGCTAGCCAGGGTTCAATCGCTTCTGAGACATCACTGAATCACTACCTGCCGGTACTCTCAGGGGGAGCAAGCCAAAACAGATTTCCACGGCATCGTTATCATCGTTTGCTGGAAGTTACAGAGCCATAAGAACAAGGCCCGCGCAAAAAAAACATATAACATATGAATATCGATGGATTCTGACAGGTAGAAAACTGACTCTTAATAAAATAGAAATAGGGATGTTCGGATAATAGTTCGAAAATTAAGAAATTTGTTCATGCTTAGACTTCGGTATCTATTAAAAATAAGTTTTGGAATAATTAGATAATTAATAATTAGAATATGTATTGTTAAATTTAAATATTTTTCATTAATAGTGTGGATTATTATTGCTATACTATTATTAACTATCTAGGGTCGAAATCATGATGCTTTCTTCTGGATCGCTGCAGATATTGGGAGGAAGCTGCAAAGGGATATTATCGCATCGTGCGCTTATAAGGGGCTATCTATATGAGCATATATTTTGATTTGTGCTGTAGTTTCAAGCAGTAGTAGTAGTAGTAGTAGCAGCAGCTGCAGCAGGAGTAGTAGTAGTAGTAGTAGTGGTGCTCGGGTCTCTTTGTGTTAGCATACTTGGAGTCGAACCCTTATAATCCTAAGGTTTCAATATAGTTTCAATCTTAAAATATTAAATTATTGAAGTCAAAGATATCTTACTAATCGTATAAACGATAGGTTATGCGAAATGTTATTTTAGATAAGGTATGAAAGTATTATATAGGTCTTATATTTTTGATTTTGGAGGTGCGGTTAAAAGGAAAGATTGAATTATGATGCTTTGTTGAGAATGTTTTGCTTAGAAAATACGAATTAGAAGCGATTATTTCGGATAACGATCTTTATTATGGTTTGATTTGGAGGGTTATTATTGATGTCGCGGTTTGCAAAGACCTTTCTTAGTTGTTCTTATTATGATTTCGATTTTTATTAGTAATGAATAATGAATATATTATTGTTCTTATAAATGAAGAGGCATATATTATTGATCTCGGAATTTAACAAGTAAGTTTAAATTATGATATTAGATTTTTGATAGACCTTAGGATCTAATAATTATGAGAAAATACCCCTAAAAAAAATTACGGGCCCGATTGTCTTGTTTTTTTGTCGATTTTGTGGCCTTGTATAGATGTAAGAGCGGCTTCTAGAAAATATCCAGGATTTTGGTCCTTCTGTGTATATAATCCCCGATATTTTGACGAATCCCCGAACGCACTAATTCCCGAAGTGTCTCTCTGTGAGTCTCTTTGTGTGCGTGTAAGTGTGTATATGTCTCTGTGTGTGTAGGTGTCTGTGTGTGCGTGAGTGCGCGTGTGTCTCTCTCTGTATGTGTCTGTGTGCGTGTTTGTGTCTGGGTCTGTGTGTCTGTCTGTGCGTTTGTTTGTATCTGTTTGTGCGTTTGTGGGTCTATTTGTCGGTCTGTCTCTACATCTGTTTGTATTTCTCTTTGTCTATCTTCGTTTGGTTGTCTATATCTGTCTTTCTAATTATATGGATCTATTTGAATATATATATATATATAGATATTTATCTATAAAATTCAATTATATATTTATATTTAAGATATAAATAGCAATATAAGAATATTTCTAATATTCTGATTTTGCTTTTGCGAATCTATTTCTTAAGAGATATATGAATATGAAGATTCATTTTAAAAATAATAATAATTTCATATTGATTCTTGAGAAAAATAAATCGATAATGTCTTTTTTTTTTATAATTTGGCTTAGATACGTAATATTTAAATTGTATATTTTAAATTCGTTTTGAGGCCTTCGAAAGATTCGAGATTTCTATATTTTATGAATTTGGGAGGGTGTGTATATGGAGAGATAAAATTGATTTTGGATGAATTCGTGTTGAACTTGGAGCCGAAAATCTCATATTTCGCTATTGGTCTTGGGCTCTAATTTATATGATTAGGTAATAATTATTCTATTCCTATTCTTGTTCTTAAAATGGCGATTTAAGATAGTGTGTTATTCCTAAAAATATATTATTATTTAAATATTTAGTCTTGGATCTCGTTACGGATATTCTCGCCAATCTTCGACATTTAGACGACCAATTCAAAGATAATCTTTATCTCTACCCTTCATCCTAAATAACGGCGGATGGTCCATTAGATTAATATAATCTAGATCAGATAATATCGATTCCAGAGATTCTTTTCT